ATTCAAGTTAAGAGTGCAGTCGGTTAAACCGAAGTTTAAAACTTAACAGTGATACTTAAACAAAATCAAAGAATGGAAGAAGCAGTAGTGCATTCACTGGGAAACTAAAACCAGCTGCACTCTTGTAGCCTGAGCCATACAGAACATTTCAATGAGCGCACAGATGTCAGAGCTTATCTAAATGAATAATCAAATTAGCGTGCACACGCTTTGCAGGGGAGTTAAGACGAGCGAGTTAATGACAAGGGAGCGATCTCGCGACTTTTGTCAGACACGTCTGCTAACGCGTCGGGTAGTACTCTCTATTTGTACGAGCGCATGAACGCCCGGATATGCAAAATTAGTTTCTTGTGTCAAACGTTATGAAAGAAAAGGAAAATAAAAAGAGGAAGGCTGCAGCTAAATCTTACCAGTCTCTCGATACATGGGTCAGTAAAGTACCCCGTCAAGAGCCATCAGACGCTGACAATGACAGTGCAGCCTGCGATGACAGCCCAGCTGAAACCACGACTTCAGATCTATCTCAGGTAACTATAGTTTTACAGCGAGATATAGAAGGTAAATCATACTTATTTTCGCAATGTTCACCAGTCTTGATCCCATTATTATGCTCTGAGATTTAGTCGCTATTCCTCGATATGAAACAAACTCGCTTAATAAAAAGCCAGTGAGGAAATGAGAGGGACTGGGGGAGGGATCTAAAGCAGCAATCCACAGGCATCCCAAACCATAAAATAGAAGTTTTCGGAACACATAGAGGGAAAATACATTTTATGTTTCTCTTGGTCTCTTATCGTCATTCCCTGATGTTATGACAATATTCTATGAAAAGCCGATGTGTACTTATAAATTCTGCATTGTTTTTAAAACTGTGGAGACTTAGCAAGCTCCAGTACCTAAGAATATTGATGGCAATCTAACGCGCCATCACTTAGAAACAATGATACAACAAGAAATAAATGACATCGGGAAGTTTTCGACGACCTTTGAGAAATTTTGTTCTTCCGCAAATAAGCTCCCAGTTGGTCAGAAGTATCACTTGATTAAAAGTCATTTTGTGCCACCGATTAACTACAAGTTTCCAACGCAATTTCTTCATCAGTGTCGAAGAGGGTTTCAGCCACGATACCTCAGTGAGTACTCGTGGATGGCCTACAGCCCCTCAGTAGATGGAGTATTCTGTAAACACTGTGCTTTGATGATACCCATGCATAGCAGGAAAGACAAAGATGCTTTTGTTAACAAGCCTTTCATAAACTGGCATAAGCCTCAAGAAAAGGCAAAAAGACATGAGCAAATGAAGTGCCATCACGATGCAATGATCGCTACCGAATCCTTCCTTAAATCGGATGAAAACCCTGAGCTAAACGTAAACAACCGAATAGATGACGAAAAGCGGAAGAATATTATCAGAAATAGACACATCGTTAAATGTGTTTCAGAAGCCATTCTTAAGGAGTGCGACGATGATCTCTTTCCAAATATATATGCGCTCCTCAAGATATGCGCCACAATTCCTGCGCCACAATTCCTGCGCCACAATTCCTGCAACGGGCTGTGAATGTAAAAGAAGTGCGAGTTCTTTAAGGCGGCTGCATACATATAGCAGGGCATGCATGGGCCGGGAAAGGCAGTCGTCCCTCGCACTAATGCACATACGTTATCAAGTTAAAGTTGTTTTGGATGAGGTGTTAAATCTGTTTGCCACCAAACACCCACGGAGGCTGGAGCTCGGGACTATTCTGAGGGATATGTTCCGCAGTATTTTGATGTATCATTTTACATCGTAAAATTAGTCCTTTGTAACTTAATTCAAGCAGTTGTATTCGACAAATGTAATATTCAGTTTCTACCGTATACTTTGCCGTTACAATTTCTCATGTATTGCTACTTTCCAAAATAAACGGATCAGACAACAAAAAATACATTTCGGTAGTTTGGTCCACTTTTGCCTCGTTAGCATCCCCCCTACATAAAATCCTGGTTACGGGCATGAGTTCTCATTATGGTGTTGGGGTGTTTTGTCTAACTGAGACAGGAGAACAACAAATTGTTTGGTCCCTGAAAAGGACCGAGCAATCTTGGATGCTAGCTGTTGGAAAGGCATGCGACTTGCCATACTTTCATACCAAAATTGACAGCGTAAATATAAATGGAAAAAATATGAGAGACAAGTTTACCAAGATAACAATTCTTATAGTTTGTGAAGCTTTGTGAAATAATTAATCAAGTTATTTTTAATTAATTATATGGAAAATTTTTTGAGAGTTATGTAAATCATGTCTCTTTTCTTAAATTAAAAATGCGTTTCTTTATGTGTATATTTTTGATAGGTTTGTTTGATGTTGGTAATATAACCCATAATGTTTTCGTGGCTATATATTCACTAGCTTTGACTGTATAATTTAACAATAAGTGTTGTGGTAACTCTGTCTAATTATTTTTCAGCTAAATTGGTTTGAAATCTGGATATTTTAGACCATGGGGACTTCTGCAGACAAAAGTAGCCAAAATGACTATTGTGTTTATTGCGAGGGATTCTGTAAATATTTTAAAGGGTTATGGAGAGACTGTTGCTAACTTTGATTTTATCAGTACAGTCAAATAAAATCGCTTTATATATATTAAGTCGCCTTAAATCGCCTAAAGTCACCCAAAGTTACAGCAACTTCAGGCTCCAGTGTAGGCCTATCACAGTAGTGCAGAGAAGGAGAAAAAACTAACTATTAGAAGCGTTGTACCTCAATGTCCAGTAGAATGATCAATCAATGCCTTTCAGTAAGAATTACTCACAGTAGTGCAGAGCAAGAGAAAAAACTATATCAGAAGCATTGCACCTACATGTCCTATAGAATGATCAATTAATGCCTTACAGCAAGAATTACTCACAGTAGTGCAGAGAAAGAGAAAAAACTATATCAGAAGCATTGCACCTACATGTCCTGTAGAATGATCAATCAATGCCTTACAGTAAGAATCACTCAGCAAAAATCATCACTCAGAACTTGCAAATACCTTAATCACAGTAGTGAACAACACTGAAGGGAAAAGCTTATTAACAGAAGCAAAGCACATGGATGTAATGTAAAATGATCTTTTTGAGTCGAACAGTAGCAATTCACGAGCAAAAGAAGCTTTACTCTTAACTTAAATATATCCCGATCACACTAGTGTAGAGCAAAGGAAAATATTACCGTCAGCTGTCCTTGCTTCGATTGTATTTCAAATGTTCCGCTTTCATTCCGTGTCTCGTGATCTCTGATTTCGGCAAATTTGGTTGTTGGATCTGTAGCCACGTTGATGTATCTACCCTTTCTTTCGGTGTTGTACGATTTACTTTAAAATATGTTTTCAAATTGTTTCAATCGACCTCAGTGAAGAGTTTTGGAGAAACATCGTGAGAAACATTTGAAGCACGCTGCAGCTGGAAAAGGTCTCGAAATTGAGTAATCTTTGAAAAGAACATTGAAAATAGCGTGAGATACGAGTCCTTTGTTGCTCTCACAGATGAGAAATAGCTTTATCTTTGAATTGCATTTTTCTTAAATCTTAATTCGTTTTAACTATAAAATTAGATTGAAATCTAACCAAGTTAGTGAAATTAATGACATGCAATTGACTAGTGGTGACGCACTGAATAGTTATAATAATAATATTACAATGTACTGGTCGCCATAAGTGCGTCCCAATTTGTGAAATGTATTCTTCGTTGGTTTAGCATTTTATCGACATAAAAAACAGAAAGTTCACATTTCAAACAAGTCTATTTAAATATCAGTACTTTGGGTGTATTGTAGTGTATCATGATCAGCACATTCGATTAGTTTATTGATAAACCATTCCCGTTGTTTACATGGTTTCATTTGAGCTGGACGGCCGGATTCAGGCCAAAGTAAGGTGGGATCTTTTTTTCAGGTTAATCACGACAGGGTAATCATGTCTTTAGCAGAAACTTACCCATCTCGAGGAGCAACGTGGGGTCGAGTTACTAATCAATTTTTTTTCGTTCAACGCTTGGAGAATGCATATCAATCGTCTCGTTTCGGTCTGTGGGATATGCATTTTCAATTTGAAAAAAATGATTGAAAAGAGAAAATCTCGAATAGGGAAAACTCCGCAAGGAGAGTAAAAAAAAAAAACTCTGCATAGTACCACACAAAAAACGACTGGTTACGAAAACGACACCAACAAATAAAGAAAACCAAAAGATGTAGTAAAAATAAAATGACGCTTGACCAGATGTAAACAAATTCATTAGACGTCTTGAGTATAACAAATAGCTGTAATGAGCTATGCATGCATGATTCTTACTGAATTTATAAGCGAAAGAGACTAAAATCTTTCCTAGAAGACGGGACCAGATCGATATACCTGTTGTCCGGTCAAATATTCCTAACTACGGCTTTTGTTCATGTTTCAAGAGACAGTAATGACAGTATTTTTAGCATAGGCGGAAGAGCCAAGCATTGCGTATTCGATGTAATTAGCACTGAAGCAAAGGGATCTCGCTTAATTTCTGAGTCATAATTATGGCGTAGATGGACATCCAAGAACGTAAGCAGTTGATTAATGGTTTACTATCACTCATTTCCATGTTTTTCCTTAATGTACGCAACACACGGATGGTTTAAACGGAAGACGATAGAATTTTAGGCTGTGGGAATTGATTTATCAGTGGTGCTTCAATTATAAGAGTCTTGAAAGATTAAAATTATGATTTTTGACTAGCGCTATGAATATTTTCCTGGTTATTGGGGCAATTTCATTTATCTATTCTGTCTCTGTATGTTGAAAGGTTATGAAGTGGTCAGGTAGACGTCAAAACTTTTGTTTTAGAACAGTCTTAATCCCGTCCTCGGTTATGAACATAGAATTCAGACAAATTAATCTTGCTGTTTGCTTTGGTAGTAGTTGTTTGCCCCTGGGGCTTCGAGTTGTCATTATGAATAGTAATTATGGTTTCCATAATTGTGATCTCTTTTACTGAGACAGTTTTAAGGCATCTCAGTATTTGTTCATATTTCATGCAGCATGTAGTGGAAACGTACTTGTAATAGCTGCAAATTTTTGTCGAGTTCATTTTTCGGTTGACCAAAATTTTGGTCATTTCGTGGGGCAGTGTGGAGTTAACTAGCTATTCAGGGCCACCATGGCAATGAGTGTCAATTGATATCATCGCTTCATCTTCAAACTTTTGCAAGTCAACCAGGTATTTAACCTTGTTAGATGGTTTGGTACACATGTATTCCTGAGGTAAATCCGAGCGTTGTGATTGTTTCCACGGAAACGGTCATAAATGGTGCATTTTCGGGGAGTAATGTAGAGTTGAGTAGTTCTTCACGGTTATGTATATACGATATTAACCAAGCGTGAGGTCAAGATGGCTGGAATTTGGCCAAGTTCTTTCTTGTGCATTTTTGCCTTTTTTTATTCCAATATGGCGGATTATTCCAATAACACCATTTGCGATTTAACAACACTCAAGCGACGTGATTGAACCAGAGTGAACAGTATTGCATACTTTACATGCGAATAAGACATTGTAGAGGTTAAATCAAGGAGATTTCGCTGAAACATTAATTTGTATGTCTCTTCACTTCATCCTCGTCGATCTCAAGTTTCTTGTTCCAGATTCAGCAGAGTGTTAGCTAACAGACTTAACACTGTAGTCGCAAGGACTTACGCTTGCAATGGCAAACAAAACGTATGAATAGCATCATCACTATAAAGCCCTTTCCATCGTGCTACTGGTTAGAAAGATTCCTAAGATGAAATGTATGCTGTCTTGTACCTCTAGCCGGTAGGATCTCGGTAGGCTTAGAAAATACTACTGGCTAGAGGTACAGCCTGCATATTTAGTCAACTTTGCTCATTTTTTTTACTACGGTTTGTTTCACAGTCTACTTTTGTACAATCTTCATCAGCCTTACAATGAACCCTTTTATTTTTTTTTTAAGAATACATTTATATCTACATTTACAATTTTTATTGCAGCTTGCTTTGCATTTTACAATTTGGCATTCCATGTTAGTCTTACACTATACACTGGAGTCACTTTTTCAAGATTATCTTCTCGTCCCTTGGTCATGTACCTCTCGCTTATATAATCTTAGGTGGCTTAGAAAAAACTCCAGGCTAGAGGTACAGCTTGCATTTTTGGTGAATTTAGCTCATTTCATTTCATTTTTACGTTGTTCTTATACAGCTGTGGAGTCAATCCATAGGTATATTTCCATGCTTTGCATTCTTGTTCGTCTGGATTACTCAGAAAATACTTCCAGTCGGAGGGGCTGCCTATGTATGTGAAGCTCTAAATGGTTGACAATATTATGTTTTAAATGAGTTTGAGGTAAAAAAATTTTAAATCAGTCTGATCTGTATTTTCTTTGGTTGTGGATCTATATCAATACAAATCAAACCAGCTTTAGATGAATTTGACTTGAAATTCATTTGAGACTTGAACATGTCAACCAGATTTACCGAGGTTTATCATGTACTATTCCATGTATGAGTGGAATTTCTCAGAATGGAATAGTCTCTATTTTCATGATATTTGTGTTTGATCATAAGTATTGTTGACAAGGCCAAACATTGTTTGAAATACAAAGTCAGCTATAGGTAGTCATAGGATAACATGATTTTAATTCACCGAATTTACATTTTTCATTTGTATTTTCACTGATAATAACAGCATGTATGACTGCATGATAACTTTCAGGCAAGTTATTCTTGAAAACATAGAATGATCTTTTACTATGGAATTTTACATTTAAGTAAATGAGACTAGCCTGTGTCTGTCTTATTTAGTATATTTTTCAATTGAATTAATTCCCGTGATCTGAAAAGGAATAAAGCATCCTTATTTGAATATCAACCAGAAACCTTTTACTTATTGCCTAAACTGCTTACTCCTAAAGGGAGAACCTTGGCATGTGCTTTAGTTTCAGCTGATTCCCCACAAATAATCAGATTTGATGCTTATGGCTTGTGAGCTGTGCCATCAAGTAAGTAGTGGTAGATCCACATGGAAGGTCTTAGGCATGCATCTCATCTGAAACCCCATTTCCCCATCGCTTTCCCTGCATAATTTGGAGTGTAGAGAAGTTATGTGAAGCAAGCCATGGTTAAAAAATTGAGCAAAGTCAACTATCCGTGCAAGCTGTACTTCTAGCCAGTAGTATTTTCAAGGTCCTTGAGACCCTACCAGCTAGACGGAGGTACAAGACTAAAAAACAAAAACTAAATGCAAATTTATTCATGAAGAAAGTGATTCCAAGGAGTGTAGGACTAATTTGGAGTGCAGAAAAGTTATATCTGAAGCAAACTGTAATAAAAATTGGGCAAAGTCAACTAAATAAGCAAGCTGTACCTGTAGCCGGTAGTATTTTCTAGGCCCCTTAAGATCCTACCAGCTAGAGGTATAAGACCAAATTTAAAAAAAAAAAAATGTAAAGGTACAGTATTCTTGAAAAAAGAAAGATTCATAGGAGTGTAAGATTAAGTAAGAGTGCAGAAAAGGAATTTAACTGTGAAGCAAACCGTAGTAAAAAATTGAGCAAAGTTGACTAAATATGCAGGCTGTACCTCTAGCCAGTAGCATTTTCTAAGCCTACCGAGATCCCACCGGCTAGAGGTACAAGACAACATAAATTTGAATAACATAAAGTAAATAAATGGATGTCTTAGAGATCCAAGATCGAACTGCGGAGGAAATTGCTAACACCATTAACAAGGCATTCCTTGAGCCGCAAGAAGAATACCGATCGACCAATCCGCTGACCCCTCTGTCCGGAATTCCTGGAGGTAACTGACGGAGAGAACCAACGAATTTTTGTCAAAGCTCAATCCCGCAGACTAGGCTACTAGACCCGATGGTCTTCCAAACTGGCTACTGAGAGAGTTTGCTAGCTTGGTCGCCTTCCCGGTAAAAACCATCCTGAACGCCTCCTTCAGTGAACAGCGACTGTCCAGTTCCTGGAAATAAGATGATGTCACCCCTCTTCCGAAGAAAACGCCTGTGCGGAATCTGAAGAAAGATTTGAGACCCATCTCTCTGACACCATGTCTGTCCAAGGTTGCGGAGGATTTTGTTGTATTAAGCCAGCTATGATGAAAGTACTGGATTCTAACCAGTACGGAGCTGTCCCAAAGTCCTCCACCACTATCGCCTTGCTCAGTATGATCCATGAGTGGATCACAGGAACTGACGGCAACGGATCACCTGTTAGAACGATCCTTTTTTATTATAAAAAGGCTCTCGATCTTCGGATAGATCATGTCCTTCTAATAAATAAATTAAGTAAACTAGATCTTCCTATTAGTGTAATCAATTGGATTATTGATTTTCTAAGTAACCGATTCCAAAGAATCAAACTGGCTGAGGGATGCCTCTCTGAGTAGGGCTCAGTTCCATCAGGAGTCCCTCAGGGGACGAAATTAGGGCCTTGGTTGTTTGTGGTTATGATAAACGACCTGGCGACCTGGTAATCGATGGCGCGCGTGTCTGGAGATATGTAGACGACACTACTGCATCTGAAGTTGTCGGAAAGGGCGGGTTTAGCAGTGCCCAAATTATTTCTGATAAGGTAGTCGAGTGGTCTCTGGCTAACAGAGTCCAGCTCAATAATGAGAAACGCAAAGAGCTTCGAATCTCTTTTCCGAGAAATAGAGCAATATTTGAGCCAATTAGGGTACATGGCAAAGAGTTAGAGCTCGTTGATAGTGCAAAGTTACTAGGAATAACAGTCACAAGTGATCTGTCATGGAACACCCATGTAAATGATGTTATCAAAAAGGCAGCCAAAAGGCTCTAGTTTTAGTTCAGCTAAAAAGGGCCAAGGTTCCTTGCAATGACTTAAGGTTATTTTACATCACGTGTGTAAGATCACTTTTAGATTATGCGATCCCTGTTTATTATTATTCACTCCCAAAGTATTTAATTAATGAGCTAGAGCGAGTCCAGAAGAGGGCTTTAAAAATCATGTGCCCTGGCCTCAGTTACGATGAAGCTCTAAGTCACATGGAGATAGCGCCGCTTAGCATCCATCACAGTGATATTTATGCCACGCTTTTCAAAGGCATCCTAAGTGACTCAGATCATAGGTTACGGGCATAATTGCCGCCTTCACATCAGGCTTGCAAATATTCGCTTCGACGAACACGCAGTTTTGACATTCCTAAAATAAACACGAAACGTGTAAGAAACAGTTTTATTATTAAGTCTTGTTTTAATACAAATACGTTTATTGATCAATTTTAGATCTTGTAGGTGGCTTTTCGAACTCAATAGTACTTTATTATATACCATCATTATATATTTAGTAATTTTACTACTTACATTTCAACAGTACGCAATTCAGCCCTTGGCTGCTATGTATTATTTTTCAAAAAAATCTATTTTACCTATTCTATAGATTTCATCTTGGGAATCTTTCTAACCAGTAGCACAATAGAAAGGGCTTTATAGTGATGATGCTATTCATACGTTTTGTTTGCCATTGCAAGCATAGGTCCTTGAGACTACAGTGTTAAGAGGCTGTCTCTTATTTCCACCCAGTCATTTTCGCGTCAAAAATAATTTTGCCTGAAACTCTGTCAACAGAAAGACTTTACTTAGGAAAGAACTAAATTAGATTTGGTTTGTTTCGAAATAATTTTATGACTGCGTTAGAGGCCATAATTGTTTCCCAGTCTCTTGGGACCGTCGCAANAACGATGACTCCGCAGCTTTATTAACTTTCCCGAAAATAATATCCAAGAAGACCCTGGCAGATAGATCGTTTAGTTGTGCCGCCCCTAGACTTTGAAATCTGCTTCCTACCACAATAAGATCTATTTCCAGTTTAGATATTTTTAAAATTAGACTTAAAACTTTTTTATTTAATAGGGCGTTTAATTATTTACTATAGTTGTTATGATTAAATTGCATTATTGATGAATTATTTTATTTATTTATTTATTTATTTATGGAGTTTTAGAAATGCAATTTTGAACTTCTATTTTATTTTTGATTTAATATTTATTGTAAGGCGCAGTTGAATATTTTTATAGAAACTGCGTGGTATAAATTTAAATTTAATAATAACAATAATAATAATAATAATAACAATAACGTTCGTGAGCCTGCATGTTTGGTCATATAGGCACAGACCTTTCTAGTTCATCTGTTGCTAGAGATTGTAATGCCTGCTTTAGCCAGATGTTACAAAA